GCATGGATAGTTGACGAACAAACATCTACAACAGGGATTCTCGACCTTTTTCTTCCTGAGGCCCCCAACATGCTATAAAAATTCCTCAGCCTGCCTCTGCCGCAACTATTTTTCTGCATGTCCAGGAGCTTAAAAGCCAGGGCTGGCATTAGGGGGTAACAAGCCAGGCAACCACAGCACAGGGGGCCCCTCGAAGCTTTGTTGCTCAGGCCACAGCTTCAGCCCCACCTGGGATGGGGGAGGGCTCGGGCTTCGGCTTTCTGCCCTGGGCCCCAGCAAGTCCAGCGCTGGCCCTGCTCGCTGGCTTATTTTGGCAGACTACGTGAAACTTCCTTGCAGCCCCCATGGGCCCCGTGGTTGAGAACCACTGATTTACAGTATGTGCCCCAGGGGTGTTGGGGGCTGGGATGTAGCTGCACTTCTTGGAAAGATGAAATCTACTGGAGAATGACCGCATTTCATGGAAATACAGAACAGTATCCGAGGGTCCATACGCTATATTTTTAGGTCTCATTGTGGAATGATTAGCCCGAACAGGGCCCTTCAAAGAACAGAAAGCTCCTGAACGAATCTCAGGTGTGTGTGGACTTGTGAACAAGCAGCAGGAAATGAGCTCTGTGGAAATCAATGGGATTTGGGAAGAAAAGGATACACCTGGGGCCAGATCCTCAGCACCACCCGAGTAATTAGAGCAGTGGTGCTCAAACTTTTGTCCTGGTGACCCCTTTCACACAGCAAGCCTCTGAGTGTGACCCCCCCCTTATAAATTAAAAATATTTAATGCTATTATAAATGTTGGAGGTGATGCGGGGTTTGGAGTGGAGGCTGACAGCTCGCGACCCCCCCATGTAATAACCTCGTGACCCCCTGAGGGGTCACGACCCCCAGTTTGAGAACCCCTGAATTAGAGCTACACCGTTTTGCACTAGGGGAGGAACTGACCCACTGTATGTACCCAGGTTTCAGAGTAGCAGCCGTGTTAGTCTGTATCCGCAAAAAGAAGAACAGGAGTACTTGTGGCACCTTAGAGACTAACAAATTTATTAGAGCATAAGCTTTCGTGGACTACATGGCATATATGCATCCGAAGAAGT